ACTTGAATGGGGATAGAATTGTTCAGTTGTGCAGCTCTTCAAATATTATCAGACTGAATCCAGACAGTGAAACAACAGAGTTGTCTTTTTGGGCCATAGGGCATAATGTGACAATGTAATTACACTGTTTGGCCAGTGCAAAAATTGTCTTCAAAGACTAGTGCACTTATTGGGGTACTGGTTTACTATCTGAGCTTAGTATGTTAACATGCTAACATTTGCTAACAGCACTAAACACAAAGTATAGCTGGGGCTGATGGTAATATATTTAGTTTTGTAGGTATTTGGTGATAAACCACAAAATTGAGGGAATAAAATTTTGACTTGACAGTCCAGCTTGAGGAGAACATGAATGTCGGAACCAACTTTCATGACGATCCATCCAGTAGACCTTTCAGTCTGAACCAAAGTGGTGGACCCAACAGCTGTCACACTAACAATGCTGCTAGCATGGATAAAAATCAGTTCACCAACAAACAATATTAAAATCCACGCTAAAACCTGAAGGCCGCTGATGTGTGAGAATGTGGGGCTGAATACATTTAAAAGCTGAAGAGAAGTTGACGAGGTGTATTCCATCATTGTGAAAACATCCCAGATAATGAACATGTTGAACACAGTTTTGTAATGCTGCTTTTAGCCTGTCTTACAGCACAGCTTTGAGATTCCCTACATTCTTTATTAAAAAAGCAAGGCTTTGTCTGTTTGTTGCAACAGCAGTGATCTCAGTCAATCAAGGCTATTGCTCGTCTCCTCAGTCCCAGCTGGTCATTGGGCAGCTGTCCTTTTTCTTAAATATACATCCAAACCCTTAAATGTGTGCCTCTGTGGGCTCACTTGTATCATTTGTGTTATTTCTTTTGCTGGCTGCTTTGTCAAGAGATTGGCTTTTGCTTGTGCATTGAGTGCATAAGATTTCTGGGTTGCTCACTGCAGATACTGAACAACAGAGAGGTAATTAGGTAATTTGCTGTCATACTAGTTTGTGTCTCTGAAAAGAGACATGGCAACAGAAAAGGGCATTGTGGTTCTGTGAAAGCTCTATGTAGCACAGCTTCTGCATGAACAACTGTCTTTAAATCAAGCCCTCTCAAATGGGAACAAAAACACTTCCATGTGTTGTTCTCCCCTCACTGGCACCATGACATTGCTCAGACAATATCTGTTTAGTGGACCTTGGGAGCACATAAATACCTCTGGTCTCCAGTTTTAATGCGTGCTGTTGTAAAAGCATAAAAAGTTTCTTTTGTCTGAATAATGAGAAGCAGATTTAATTTAAAAAGCTGAAGTAAATTGAAATGAAAAAAGAAAACATTAAAAAAGCAGTTTTGAGAGAGGTGACTGAGATGTACCAAACATACAAAGCTATGGAGCATTGAGAAACAGAGAAACATGCTCAGACTGTAGAGGGACTGTAAGGGCTCATTTATGCTCCCTTTACGTACAAAAATGTATACGTCCGTTTCAAACGATGTTACCGTCACTGCCCACATACTTCCATGCGCCCTTTATGTTGGCATGGATGTCAACCAATATATCCACCAGGAGGCAGCCCAGCATCAAAAATTTATGACAACAACAAACGTACCTCTTGCATAAAAGACAAAAACAGAGGCAGCGTTGTAGGAGGCGGTGGTCGGTGAGGCCGTTAAATACGTCGCGACTAGAGGACAGAGAATTCTTTTCTCTAGTACTGCCGATGAGAGAAATTAAATTGTTATTTCTTCTTCGTGTCTCACTAGAGCTACGTATCCGGTAGAGTCAGCAACACTGCCCCCACGGTTCCCAATGGTACTGCTCCGTTTGGCCTGTATCCGTAAGCTTTATGGAAACGTGCAGAAATACGGACGAAATGAACGCGGAGCACGGACAGAAGGCTCCGTCCGTATCCAGAACCGTATTTAACGTTGAGCATAAATGAGCCCTTAGAATGAGTGTCTGTGGCATTGAACAATATACCATTGTTTCTGATGCAGACTCCCCCAAACCTGAAACTACTTGCCAATGTGCAGAGACCTCACCCCACCGGGCTACATGATGTGCTACATCATATCTTAATAATGTTTTCTGGTGTGAAAAGCTCAATAGAGAAAACTGCTGCTGAGAAGAGAATGACATATGGTTATTAGAGAGTCATGTGACTTAATGACCCCAAACCTGTAATGGTGTGTTCACACTGAACGCACAGCGAATTTTAGCATCGTGTTACTTTGGTAGATTCAGCTGCTGTGTTTTTAGGAGTATCTTACAACTGGCAAATATTCACCCTTAACAGCTGTACTAATGTTTGTGCTATCTGAGTTGTGGCTGGTTTTGAGGCTTATGTAACCACTGTTCAAACCGTGGCAAGTTTAAAATACATTAGTAAACTATAACTATAAAATGAAGGGGTAATGAGGTTTTGTTGCCTCTTGCAGCAGCTGTAGACAGAAAAAAATAACTCACTAGGCTGACTGCTGGTAACTTTTAAGGTGGAACGTTTACTTGTAATGTTACTCAGTGCATGAGTTGTTGACGTGAATCCATTAACACACCTTAAATTTCAGTATGACAACTCAGACAATTTTATTAGTTTTTATTGACATAAAATTTTAGTAATGAGTGTATCTTCAAGAATTTAAAATACAAATTTATTTAGACCTGATCATGCATATATAGTTGCATATGCAGTACATACTTTCTACATTTTTTCCTACATTCTAATCCTCACTTGGAGATCACTACACCCTGTGCTTGCCTGAGAGGGACCAAATGCGCAAATCTGCTATTTTTAAATATCCCATGGAGAGAGACTTTCACTGCAACCCTATTTTGTTCTGAAAATGTTGGCATGTAACTTTGTTCTGTGGAGGATAAACAAGGTGCAGACTTTCCTCTGTGTCACCAACGATGAAGAAATACAGCGAGTGCTGGACGTAACAGTGAGTGACAATAACCCCACCCACATTTAAGAGTACTGTTTGCGATGAAAATGTTAAACGGACCTAGGGTCTAGGTACCATGTCTGAAGGGTTACTTTTGGTTCCAAAGGTACTATACTGAAAGTGTGTGATGGCATTGGGGCTTTGGTTTGCAGTGGTTTGGCTTTCTTGAAAGGCGCTATATAAATTAAAGTTATTATCATTAGTATTATTATTATTATTAAAGTGCAACCAATAGCTAGAATCATGTGATGTAAACATGGTGCCCGGAGGCTCCTTGCTCTGGACCAGCATAAACCAAGACAGTAACAATCTATTATTTTCATAGTATCACAGCAGCACATTACTGCTTTATTCCCTTCATTGTTATCTTTCCACAATAAAAGATCAACTTAAATCACTCAGAGCATTTTTCTAAGAAGCAACTCAACAAAATAACTTGCATAAGTCACAAATGCATATTTTCAGAACTTAACATGTAGACCTATCGCTTCACTCAATAATCTCCGAGCCCTCTCCTTGTCTGTTCGGTCCCTGTACAGTACTGACTGAGAGCGGTAGAGTTCCAGGTGCCCACAGATGACAACAATAACTTTGTCCTTCATTACTGAATCTCGGTAACATCAGAAGAGTTTTTTTTAGGTTTTCACAATACAGTGTCACCCAAATTTCCCGGTTAAGTAGTAAGTAGTGCGAATTTTATGTCTTTGTGTCATTGTTGTCGCATCATTTACGTTACCTGCCTTTTGAGATAACGTTCTTTAAAAAAGACAGAAAAAAATGAGAATTACAAAGGAATATAAAATTCATTTGTGTTACATCTGAAGGGAACACATTTAAAGTAATTTGTATAGTTATCTCATTTATTTTTGTGTTGGTCTTTGGATTGTGTACTTAAAATGATAAACTCCTGAACTGGTAGGTGAATGCATTGTATTCCAGGTATGTTATGAAACTGATGGATAATAACTTGCAATAATAATTTTTTTATGCAGGTGTAGTTTTGTGTAACTAACATATGATGTTGGTTTTGTCTATAACAGATAATAATCATAAAAAACAAACAAAAAAGAATTATACAGTTGCTCTTTATAAGCCTTTAGATTTAGATGTATTTTCCATTAAGGTTTAAGTTGTAGTTTTTCCTTCTAAGGAGGGCACACTGAACTGAGAACTGCTTGTTACATCGTTACATCACACAATAGTGAGGTAGTAAGGATGAAGCTGTCGAGGAAGACAGCAGCCTCTTCCTAACACAGCTGTCCATATTATTCTGTTTAGTGTTAAGTGCTCTCTACTAAGCAGATGCTGGTGGTGCCAGCACTCCCAGCGTCTTGTTTCCTCATCTATATTTCATTCATCAACATGTGGGCAATTAGTGCTGTTCCACTTGGAAATCATCTTATACATATCCATCTATTTTCAGAGGCTTACTGTTAGTGGAATATGTTTGAATGTTTCCCCCTTTTCTTTCATGTATTTTGTGTTGCCCCCTACTTTTCATGTAGTGTAGATCAGTATTGTGAGTAAAAGCCACCTTTCATCCTTGCTTTGTCTGTATGGGCTGGAATGTTGGAAAAGAAAATGTATGTTTTAGAGATGTTTCCTTTGAGTAGTACGATCTTGGACATCTAAAGTAAAGGTAATGGTGAAATCTAAACTAAAAATGTAGCTGTAAAGTTAATAAAAGACTTTTTCTACACTGTTTGACAGCAGCTCATATTTATTTCAAATCTTGTGCCAGCACTTCATTAAAGCTACAGCATATTACATTATTACATTATGACTGAAATAGTCATAGCTGAATCATTAAATGAAATGGAAAATATCTTCTCTGGTTTTGTTTCATGCAGGTTTCCCTGCCCGACATGTTTGACAGACCTCAGGATGATGAACAGAATTTATAGTTTCGTGGATTTTGTACATACTGTAGATCTGTCCACCCAGGAGTTTGTAATAATGGACCTGTCAAAGGCTTTGTGAGGTTGAAGATGTTGAGGGCAATTTTCTTGATCACCACTATCTGATTTTTTTTCTTCTCTTGAAATGACCAATGCTGTCTTTCTCTGTGTCTTTCAGTTGTCCCTTGGGGATGAACAGTGTGAAGTGACGCGGAACGGCTATGAGTCGAAGGAGCTGGTGTACTTAGTTCATATTTACTGCCAGGTAAGACTCCACTGGGTTTGATGGTGCAGTCATACAGAAATACAGATACTGTACATGCCTAACCTCCCACAACATGCATACACTTAGATATAATAACATACAGACTCCCACACAGACTCTACTTCATCTGCAACAACAACACACACACACACACACACACACACACACACACACGCACATACCGGCATTTGTAAAAATGTATAAATGCTTTTTACTTCGTCTAAAAACTCATTAAAAGTGATTTCCAACCCACAAATGATGGTTCAGCACAATCTGTTCAGATACCTAGCATAGTCATCTCTTTGAGCAGAATGCTGGCTCAGGCTCAAACATTTCTGAAACACCTAACTTATTGTTTCAAAAATCCAAGTTATGTGGGACTTTGGAACTGAAGTGAGAAGAGATGTGGATGAATGCCAGCATGGGTGAGGGATTCTGAAGAATGAAAAAGTCTTCAGAGTGTGAATTCTTCAAATGCTGAGCTATTACAAAATACTGTACATATGTTTTCACATATTTGATGATATTACCTCGGCAGAATTTTTGGATTTAATTCCTCATGTTGATCTGCTGGAGGGTAGGCTGCAATGTTTTCTGTTTTTAGATATTTCTGCATCATTATTGAAAACTGAATCATTCATTGCAACAATTACTGGTGGCGGAATCCACCAAGTATCATTTTTATGCCTACATGCCAGCGATAGCTGTAACCAGAGATATTATGTTTTTAGGTTGCATGTCCGTCTGTCCGTCTGTCTGTCCAACCATCCAACCATACGTCCGTACATTGGTATGTCAGTACATTGGTACGTTCGATCCCTACTTGTGAACATGGTATCTCAAGAATGCCTTTAGGAAATTTCTTCATATTTAGCACAAATGTCCCCCTCAACTCAACGATGAACCAACTAGATTTTGATAGTCAAAGGTCAAGGTCAATGTGACTTTGCATCCTTCTTATTCTCATGAACGCAGTATCTCATGAATGCCTTTAGGGAATTTTGTTCAAATTTTGCACAAATGTTCACTTGAACTCAACAATGAACTAATTAGATTTTCGTTTGTAAAAGTCTAGGTCACTGTGACCTTGCATTTGTCTCATTCTAGTGACAATGATATCTCAAAAATTTCTTAAGATTTGGCACAAAAGAACACTTGGACTGAAGAATAAACTGATTGGAATTTGTTGGTTAAAGGTCAAAGGTCACTGTGACCTCACAAAACATGTTTTTGGCTAGTATTCAAGAATTCATTTGCTAATTATGACAAACTTCACACCAATGTCTAATTCTGTATAATGATGAAGTGATGACATTTTATAACCAAAAGGTCAAAGGTCAACTTCACTGTAACATCATAATGTTCTGCAAAAACATTTTTCTGGCCATTATTCACTGTCATATCTCGGGAACAGAAGGGGAGCCATTTAGTCATATGCTGAATTAGTGACACTAATCTTGGGTGTCCACCTTGAAAATGTGCTGATTGTATAGATTTTCTGTGCTGCTGGGGGAAAGCATCCATGTTCCTCACAGACAAAAAAACTGTAAGGGAAACTTGACTGGTACGTGGAGGCATACAACCATGGGGCAGTAATTCTAGTTTATTATTGTGGGTAGAGGCCTCATGGAGTGTTCCCTTCATGTGGCACTACTGTGTCCATGGTGTTCTCCTTATAACAGTGCATTCATTGCTCAGTGTCATCCCAGAGGTTTTGTCAGTGTAGAAAAGTTGGCTCTTAAGTTGGTCATCTTTAAAATTCCTATTTAAGGAGGGATGTCAGAGTAACGTTACAGCCAAATTATTTATGATAACATCATATAATTTTGCAAGAAGTTTGACTAACTCAAAATTGGGCATAGCCTTAAAGTAGAACACACATGCACACCAGCTGCTTAGAAGCTTTGCCCTAGCCTCCTCCAGTGACATTTTTCATTCTGGTTTCATGCATTTCCCTCCACAGATCATATTCCATTTGCACGACCTTGGCAATGCCACACAAGAATGTGGCTGTGTACTTGGAAATTCCAACTTATTACAGCCATCAGAAAAATGCTAAAGCTACCCTAGTGCTATTTGAAAATGGAAAAAAAATGGCAAAGAGTTGGCCTTGAATTCTACACTCAGAGCTTTAAACAGAGAAAGTGGCACAGCTCAGTGAGATTGGTTCAGTTCCACAGACCCAGAAAGGGGGGGGGGGGGGGTAACTAGAAGCACCATCTGAAAGTGGGGCAGGACAGCATAAAGAGTTCCCCGGGCCCTCCCAGTGTGTCTTTACCAGCCAGCGCTTTTAAAACAGCACTAGAATCAGTGGGCTGAGTGGTGCACTGCAGTCCCGTCGCACAAGCCCTGGCCTCAGTACAGAAGAATCTTTCTAGGCCAAATCAAAGTGAAAGACTTTTTCCACCACTAGTCTCTCTCAGTGGGTTTTGTGGTTTGGAGCCCCGTCTTACTGGATGGAAAAGAAACAACAAATCCATGGAAGAACTCTTAGATTTTTTTTTTGAAGAAAAGTTACATTTAATATGGTGGATTGAGGGCAAAATTCTCGAGGTTTGCACTTGCACTGTTGGCATTTAATCACTGCATTTTACTATGAAGGGCTGAGTAAGCTGTTGATGTTCTTTGTTGTGAAGACATTTCCACTATCAAAGTATACAAGTCCATGAGAGAACTGATTGCCATTTTCTTTTTTTCTGTTTTTTTTTGAGACTGCGCCATTGTGTTAGAGGCATGAAAAGAAAATGAAAAGACTGTCTGTGGGGACAAAAACAGAAGGGACAATCCCAGGGAAAAAAGGAAGCAGAGGAGTCACAACAGTGCTGGCTGATAAAGGGTTTAGTGGGCTTGTCTTTATGCTGATACAGAGGCTTGTGGCTCTTCTTGGAATGTTATCCACAAAGTTCAATTACTAGCAACAAAAAAAATGGTGTCAGCATTTGACCTTGAGCTTTTGACAATACCAGACAACACTGCTTTGGTTTATTAAGGTGCTACATCAGATAACAGCCATTAGATATCTGGCACCTTAGCTGCTAAGTGCTTCACTATTTTCACCAGCTGGTCACTAACTTTGTCTGCTGTTTTGTGCTGAGCAGGTAGTGTACAGTGGGTTCACAGAGCGTTTTCACTGAAAACAGCTGTCTGCATGATGCAGATGAGAGTGGTTAGAGTTAACCAAAACAGTACAGTTGCAGGCTGTATAACAAAAACAATGAGCTGTGAGACATTAAAATGCTCTGCAGAGCTGAGGGGAACTGCACAGTCAGGTCTGGGTTTCCATGGTCATGGAAAACCTGGAAAGTAATGGAATTTCACAATCCCATTTTCCAGGCCTGGAAAAGTCATAGGATTAGCAAAAATCATTGAAGGTTATGGAAGAGTCATGGAATTTTTGTGTGTAATGAAATTGTTACAGTAGTCTTTCATGGATAACATTTTTTAAAATGTAACATAATGGCCAATTTATGGCCGTTATGTTGATGTGTGATGTCTGTTTACCATTACATGCATCTCTTCATTTCCTCCTGCATTCCGTCTCTCCCTCCGTATACACCAGCTAATTAGGGGCCGGGCAGCCTAAGCTGCCAGAACCCAATTGATATCCTGCATCATCTTCTTCTTCTTCTTCTTCTTCTTCTTCCGAGGAAATCCTACTTCCCATGCGCGAAAAATCACCAAACTTTGCACAAAGGTCCAGTCCCATGCCAGATTGCCTCAGCTGCAAAAACAGGCCAATAGTCCTGATGGTGGCGGTACAGCAAGTTAAAGTTAAAAATTTTGAGAATTCACAACAAATCAACCATACGTGCTACAGATTTGCAACTTTAACCAAAATGTAGCTCCATTACTGAAGAAACTTTTGTACATTTAAACCAGGGCTCAACAATAACGATTGCCCGATTGCCCGGGGCAAGTAAAACTCAAGGTCGGACATGTAAACTAACAACTCACTTGCCCAATCGGGCAAATTGCTAAAAATAGTAAAAGTTAATAACTAATTGATAAAATAAATGTATTTTAAAACGTGCTCCTTCTGCTCTGATGCAGTGGTCTCTCTGCCTGAAGTCACAGGCACACGCTGTGTAACAATGTCCTGCCCACAGCCCCCATTGATATTATTTTGCGCGATGGACGCTTCATATAATAACATAACAATATACTATTTATGGTGTTATGTCATCGTGTCATTTCTGTCTCTACATGGTCACGTGTTAACAATTCTGCTCTGCTCTCTGTATCGCGCACAGCGGAGTTCCGCCACACACACAGGTGAGCACGCTAGAGTGTGGCTCAGCCGCATTTTCCTGACCAAACCTGACCCCGAGCCCGGTGCAGTTTGTCAGCTGACAAAGTTATTGTTATGGACAGTGTGTAGCCTAAATAACCAACAGACTGCTGTTACGCACAGACAAACAGCTGCTCGCACAGCAGCGCAGCACGGCACTCATGCTGACCTTGTGTTGCGTTCAGGCATTGTCACGTAAATAACAACTTCCAGCACTTAAATAGGTCATAGCACAGAACAGCAGCATGTCAAGTGACTTTTTACTTTTATTATGTTCAATACAATTGTATGTTGCTAAATCTTGAGACACCTCATATGTAAGCTAGACAGACATTTCACCTGCTCATTACTGTGCACAAATGTACTGTATGTACTTAGTCCTAAAGAGCCCTTCTGGTGCCAGTAGATACATAGAAACTTCCCAGCAGGCTGTGCTTTGCAAGCATACAAAAAAGTTTCACGCATGTGAAAATTATTTTTCATGCGTGTGCTTCACCTCCGCTGCTACAACTCCATCCTAGGGGAAACACTTTTGTGTGCATTTTGTGCAACAGGGGGATGTGGTAGTCTACTGGTAGTGTAGAGAGAGAGCTAAGTAGCGTTGAAGTAGAGTAGAGCAGGGCAGAGAGATGGAAGCAAAATATATTAAACCCCATGTTAATACAGCAGAACTGGAGAGAGGGGTGAAAAATAAATAGAGGTGGGCATGGCTCAAGTAGGGCACAAAATTATAGACGGAGAACGATTGACAAAAATTCTCTGACCAACTTGCCCGACCGGGCAAGTGAAAAAAAACCTTAGCGTTGAACCCTGATTTAAACCTATTGCAAATTATGAAGTCCATCACTCTGTTTTTTTTTTCAAAAACTGTAAAACTTATTAAACCTATCTCCTCCCACAATTTTTGCTCAATTGACACCGAACTTGCTACAGAGCATCTTCAGACTTCAGTCCTACACAAACAATCCACACAGATTTTTGATTTATCGAAAATTGAGCCTACAGTGCACCAAAATGTTTGACTGTAAATGGTATTGTAAACATATACTTGCAAATTCTTGCTAAATACATTTTCAATGTTCATTTAAAAAAATGACAAAATTTTGGAGTCATGGTAGATGATGTTTGGAAAATATCAGAATTTTATCTCAAAAACTGAATTTTTTACAGCATTTTGAATTTCACTCTCATGCGAACAATTGAAGTCAATGCAAAAATGGCATTTTTAAACATCAGTTTTTCACTTGTGGAGCCAGTAAATCATTGTTAAAAACAAATTACCAACTGTCCAACTGCTGTCTAGATGCAATTTGTGTATTTTTGGATTTTTGTCTTAATAACTGAATTTTTGATTGTTTCAAATCTGCCTTTACACACTAACAGCTGCTGTCTTGCACACAGGTGACTGGCTTAGTCAGTTTGTGAAGCTACATGTGACATTTCTGTTTGCCAATTAGCTCATTGAGATAGAGGATGGTTCTTGGTGTTGAAGATTGTGAGTTCAAGCCTCAGCTCATGCAACATTTCCATATGAGAAATCTACCCAAACTTTTCATAAAGGTCCAGTCCCATGCCAGATGTCCTCAACTGGAAACACAAGACAATAGTCCTGATGGTGGCGCTACAGCAATCCTCTAAATTTTAAAACTTTGAAAATTCATAACAAATCAACCATATGTGCTATAGCTTTGGAACTTTCACTTTGAAATTTGCTTTTCCATGGCATGGATGGCTACTGTCTGGCACCCTGATGCTTGGCTTAGTCAATTTGCGAAGCCACACATGAACTGTCACTTGTCAATTAGCTCAGTGAGATAGAGCATAGTCTCTTATGCTTAGAATGCCACCTTTTTTCATCTTCCTACACTCTGCTTGTTGCTCAGAATTGCCAATTTTGCCTAAAATTGCCCAGCCCCGACCATTGCTGTGCAGCAGCTATAATTGAAATTTAAGATTACAGGCAAGTAGGGCAAGAAAATGATATATTTATATTATAGGTCCTTGAAAAGTCATGGAAAAGTTTTGAAACTTTGTCTATGAAAATGTGTGGGAAACTATTTGGGTGATAATTATCCGTGGGTTTGTCACTACTACAAGTTGTCACGTGATCCATTGTTAATATAAAAAAAATATTTATTGTAGTCACAGTAAGGCAAGAATAAAGGTTATACTGCTAGAGTTGTTGGATTGCAATGAAAAGTATATTTTTGTGTCATCCACACAGCAGTTGAAGAAAACATCATGGCTTGGTATCACCTGCATGTAAATTTAAAACAACAGTGGGCCAAGAATGGACCCTTGGGGAAATCCACAATTAATTTGACTTACAGAGGAATAGGAGTCTGCATTTGCAACACAGAAGGCTCTATTGAACAGATAAAAAAAAAAGCTAGACAGATGAAGAAAAACTTAAGCTTCCACATGGCTATGCAGACTCAACACTGGGACAACTGAGGCAATGGGGCACTGAACACTCTGTGTGAATTTGTGCTTTATGAACTCGAGTACTATGGCTGTGTGCACGTTTTATCTCTTACTGCAGATCACATAGTTGCAGTAAATCGCAAGTAAAGCCACATTGTACACTACTGCAGATGATTTCCAAAGCATGCTATAAGCGTGCTGTATTTTTAGGTTGATAAAACCCTTTTTCTACCTTCCAAGCACCCACCGGCACCAAAAGGCACCAACCCATAAGAGCCCTCGAAACTTTCAGCTAGTTGATTATCATATTGTTCTGAAATGAAAGGAAACTAATTACTGCCTGAAAGTTGGGAAAATGCACCCATTAGGCTAAAATATCAGTCTGTTCTTTAGAAACACCTGGAGGCAGTGTAAAGCACACTGAATTAGTATTATGGGTAATGGGCATGCATTATGTCTTCCTCCTTTCCCACAACTGTTTCACGCACCTGGAGTGTCCTGAAATATTGTGCATGCTGTCACTACTAATTATACAGCGTTTGCTGCATTGACACAGTGATTGTGCAGCACTCCTTTTGAAGTGCCTGTTAAATATATTGTATTGTAATGTTTCTATGTTTTTCTATGGGTTTTATGATGCATTGTTGGTTTAATTTAAGGGAGGGTTTTGTCATGTTTTTTTTAATTTTTAATTTTGTTGCTCTGAAGGGCCGAAGTTGGATTGTGAAGCGCAGCTATGAAGATTTCCGTGTCCTGGACAAGCACCTCCACCTCTGCATCTACGACCGACGGTTCTCACAGCTGCCTGAGCTGCCTCGATTGGACAGTCTGACTGACCAGTCAGAGGCAAGAGCTGAAAACACACATCTACACACTTTCAGGGCTGTAAGCAAAATAATCCAGTATGGCACTTTACTGGATTTAGATCCCATTTTCTTCACATTTTAACTAGAAATAAATATTGGCCACAGGTAAAGGCTCATGAAAGGACCTTTTATTTTAATACAGTATGCAGTAATGCATCTCACAGAGCTTGATGTATGCTCTCACTGAACCAGTCGGTGCTTGGTCAGCCCCTAAATTGAATGAATGGTAGCTGCCAGTATACTTGAAAAATACAAGATAAAAAGGTATCAGGTATCAGATGAAACCTGTTGCTGTGCTTTGATATCCAATATGACCTACATGGCTTTTGTGTTTGGAATGCACCAGGTGATATTTTGCCGGCTCTTCCCTCTACAGCCCACATGTGAAATGTATTCTGAGCCAAACAAAACCTTTATGGTCTAATTGAGGAATGCACAGGTTAGGTATCAATCCAAACAGGTAAAACCAGTTTTTGACCAGGGTGTGTGGTGTGTGTGTGTGTGTGTGTGTGTGTGTGTGTGTGTGTGTGTGAGAGAGAGAGAGAGAGAGAGAGAGAGAGAGAGAGAGAGTTCAGCCACTAAAGCCTAACCTGCTGTCTACCCTTTCTTCTCAGTAAAGTTAAGTGTCATCATTAAGTGAAATGTGCAGAAATGTTCCCTTGTAACATGAAATCATAGCCCTAAATGTCATTTCAATTGGTTTACTACCATGCAACACTCTTCAGCTGTGTAATTAGCTGCCTTTGTCACTCAGGAAACACATAACTAAAGGAGCTGATGATTTTTAATGGTAATGATTAACACCCATTGTAGCAGCTAAGTGTAGTGTTCAGTGTGTTAGGTGTGGATTATTGCATACAGTGAATGGTATTATCTGAAGTAAATGTAATGACTCTAACTGGCCTGTGTGTGTTTTCTGCCATGTTAGTCAGTTTCTCAGATGTTGTTGGCTTACCTCTCCCGGCTCTCAGCCATCGCTGACAACAAGATCAACTGTGGGCCTGCCCTCACATGGATGGAGGTAAGACTGCGCTGTCATCTGTCAAAAAAGGTTTTTTTTTTTGTAACTTTTATTAAAAAAACTGTCACTATATCCACACATTCACAATAGTACCTGAGACAGTCTATGAAATAAAAAATCCTGTTCAGTTTCCACCGTGAAAAGTTGTGGATGGTACCTATGGAACCAATCCTAAACATCCCCGTTTTTGCTCACCCCTTTGTTGGGGTACCTAGCACACAGATCTGGTGCTCAAATGTGGAGCTGGAAACACTGCAGTCCATTGATTGGTCAATAGAGGACGGTCACTCTTGCTCAGGGCTGAGTTGTTGCTGGTTTTGAGGCTTACGTAATCTCTGTTCATACTATGGCAAGTCTTTCATACATCAGTAAACTACAGCTATAAAAATAAAGGATGTTTTGCTGCCTCTCACAGCAGCTGTAGCCTGAGAAAAAAAAATAAATAAATTCACTGGACTGACTGCCAGTAACTTTGAAGGTGGCACTTTTACTTGTAATGTTCCTCAATGCATGAGTTGACAACATCAATCCATCAGGACACCTTAAATTTCAATATGACAACTTTGACCATTCCATTAGCTTTTGTAATGAGTAGATCTTTAAGCACTTAAAATATTTATTAATTTTGACCGGATTTTGTGAACTGCATATATTCTAATCCTCACTTGGAGAGAAAAAAAAGTGGCCCAGAGTGTTGTTGCTCTGTGCTATGACATCACTAAACCCCTGTGTCTGACTAAAAAGGACTAAATGCACAAACATGCTATTTTTAAATATCCCATGGAGAAAGACTCTCACTGCAGCCTGTTCTAATATGTTCTGATAATGTCGGCATGCAACTCCGTTCTGTGGATGATAAATGAGGTGCAGATTTTCATCTGTGTCACCAGTGAAGAGGAAATACTGCGAGTGTTGGACGGAGCAGTGAGTGATAGCAACCCTGCCCACACTTAAGAGTATTGTTAGCAGTAAAAAATGCTAAACAGACCTAGGGTCTAGGTGTCATGTCTGAAGGGTTACTTTTGGTTCCAAAGGTACTATACCAAAAGGGATTGGTGGAAACAGGGCTTTATTCCACAATCCTACCTTATATACAGCACGTAGAGGCAGCATAAATTGGGAATATTCCTGCTCTGAACAGGCAATGACACTGCACGGTTGTGTAATGCAGCAAAGAAAAATATCTAAAAAAATCACAATGGCATATTGCAAAGAGCAAAGCATCAATTCATTTGGAAAAGTAGGCAAATATTTAAGTAGGCAATACTACAGTATAGCTCTAAGATTACAAACTTGTAGAAGACATCAGCAGCAGTTTCTAACCATCCTAGCTATTATTGTTCTCAACAATAAAAATACTTGAATAAGCTGGTCGAAAAGAAGTTGCTGTTTCTATGGCAGGATTATTATTTTGTCATTTATCAGCCAAAGGCTGCCACTGTTGTGAAATGAAGTGTAAGTCTTGTTTGTGTGTATACTAGGTTGACAATAAGGGAAATCATCTGCTGGTTCATGAAGAGTCGTCTATCAATGTGCCAGCTATTGCTGCTGCCCATGTCATCAAGCGCTACATTGCCCAGGCGTCAGACGAGCTGTCCTTTGAGGTGACAACAACAACAGTTCACACACACACCTACACACACACACACACACACACACACACACAGACTCACGCACTGTCTCTAAATATACTGAGATTCTACTAGAATTCTTCGCAGATACTCGTCATCTGTAGCTGACAGACAGAGATAGAGAAAAAGCGAAAAAGAACTGCAGGAGCAATAAACATGTCTTTCAAATACAAATGTTCACTCTGAGCAAACTCAGCACCTGAATTGGTACATTTTTAGACATCAAGTCACTTCACTCAGAACACTCCTTAATAAAATTGCAACTGAAAGTTAAAGCCTCACTATATAATGCCTTCAGCATCAGCAATCACTGATGTCTTCCATCGACAAAAGGTGAAGGGACAATCAAACACATCTTTTGCCTTCCTTCCCTCTGCAGGTTGGTGACATTGTGTCAGTGATTGACATGCCCCCTAAAGAGGACACCACATGGTGGAGGGGCAAGCATGGCTTTCAGGTATGCAGCTCACAAACACACATCCACATAGGTTTTATCTTTCTCTGTCTTTTCCTCTGGCTGTAAACTTTTGATTTGTTCTAGTTTCAAGGACAAGGAGAGAACTTTGCTTTGGAAAAGCAGATTTCAAATATTCAGTTTTTTGAAAGACATAGCAAGATACAAATCCTCTTTCCTGTGAAGGTCATTAGCAGACTACATGGTGTGTGCCCCCTCTCTGTAACGCTGAACTGATTCATAGTCTTGCACAGTCTTCAGTACAGTCCAACAACACATGTAAACTTATGCTTTTTAGAACTTTTGTTACAATCTTTGTTCTGACTGTTTCAGCTCTCAGCATCATGTAGTCAAAACATTTTATGTCCTAATGGTACTCTCAGGTTTCAGTGGAATGAAGTGAAAAGAATGTACACAGCACACATAATTTCATTTTGGGCTGTAAGAAAAGAAACTGTTGAATTCTAGCTGCTGCTGCGGTGAGTTGGGGCAGGGTATTTTTAGGAGGAAGAAGGAATAGGTGCAAGAGGAGGTAGTTTAAAGAATGGAAGAGAATGAAGACAATGGAGAAATACAGGAGGGTCCCTCAGTAACACTGCCCAGACCTTAACTTTTTGAAAACTTCTCAAATTATCTATGTGCTATTAATCCACACAGCACCTGAGTATGCATTAGGAGGTTGATTCAGCATCACTCATGGCTCAAACTCACAACCACAGACACCAAGAGCAGGTCATGATTTTGTGAAGCTACCTGCTAAGTGAGAAACCACAGTCTGGTTTCGACAGTCACAAGGGTTACATGTAAAGGCAGATTTCAAACTATGTTAAAATTCAGTTAAGTTCATGAACATTGGAAATTTGAGAATCTGTAGTAGCTGTCTACAGTACTGTTTACACTAAAATGTTCTGATGCACTGTGGGCTCAGTTTTTGATATTTCAAAAATCTGTCTGAATGGTTTATGGAGGACCGTCGGAAGATACTGTATAGGGAATTAAGTGTCAATTAAGCTAAAAGGGGATAGGTTTAACAGTGATGGACTTTAGAATTCCTGTTGGTTGAAGTATCTGAACAAAAACATAAAGGACAAAGAATAACAGATCATTATGGCCAAAGTACCTTTTCATTTACATTTTAATCAAGTGTTCAATTCTAAAGTACGCACATTCCACAGGAAATGTGACGTGGTTTAGGCTTGCATTCAAGTACATTGAGAGACGTTTGAATAACTCCCAAATTGAACATTAGTTTCAAAAGGAAAACAACACTCAAGTAAAGTCAGTGCACCCTCCATACATAACATTAAAACATCTAACATTTGATAGGAACTGTAAGTGAGGTAACTTATCAGACACAATTCCTCAGCAAAACTAGTGTATTCATGCTGTTTTTAAGGTAGCAGTATGTAACATTCTAATTAACATGAAAAGTAGAATAAAAATAAATAGAATGACAACAGCTGCTGCCGATGCACTAATGTAGGATCCCCTCACTGTTTGACTGTCATCATACTCTTTCGTGAACCTTATCTTAGCAGACTTTGCAAATAACTGTTATTTGCACGGTATCAGTTTTGAAATATCTAAACCAATTCCATATTACTGATGATGAATGTTTTCTAGGGACCAACCCCTTCATGTTGTCATCCTCTTTTCCAAATAAAGGAGGAAGGGCTACCGGATGTGTGTATAGAACCACACATAGAACTGCAATTGATTGAATATGCACTGTAGCACTATACTAACGATCTCTTTGTAAAGCAGATCGTGGAGACGCTTTAATCATTCATGATCTAATATCGTCATATCACCCACCCCTAGCAGGAATAATTATAAATTTAAGTGCTGCCTGGTCCCTGATTCACATCTTATTGTATTACAAGCTGTTCTGAAACAGAGGTTAATAATAATAGATCAGTTTATTATGTTCATGTTAAGCCCAGTTCAGACCAAAGATTCGTGGCAAGACTAGTCAAAACAGGCAACTTCCAATGTGCTGTTCTGTAGGGTTGTAAAAATGTGGCGGTTCACACCAATGCAACTAGATGAGATGGTGTATCATCTCTATGTAACAACTCTCTATACTTCTGTTCTGATTTTCAGCTTCTCAGGCTTATTTTGTGGCTGAATATGATTTAAAGCTTGTCAAAATATGAATGAGGATAGTGATAATGAGATACTGGCTGTTGTTTTGTTTGTAGTAGAAACAAACAAAACAAGCATCATGACTATATTCATGATAAATACGCCACAATAATATAAATAACCAGTGCCAATGATAAGTCAGTGCAAATGTGTATGTGTGTAGGGGAGGGGTCAACACACTGTCTGCAGTCATTTTGACTTGAACAGCGGACTTCACAACCAGCTGATTGGCTGTTGAAACAGGTGACGTGCTTCACATTCTAAAACCAGCCAACAGCGATTTGACCAGCTGAGTTGCAGGTGACACCATAAGCCAGCTTGAGTCAAGCTTTGCATGTCGTCGCAAATCTTTGGTCTAAACTAGACTTTAAATGTATGTGTATGGCTACACCCAGACAAATATGTACAAAATACTGTGGGCCTGATTTACTGAGAGCACATTCAGACAGAAAGCAGCCCTGCACAAAAAGAAGACGGGGCTGCAATGGTGGGGGTGTACTGATGAGACATGTAATATGATCCAGAAAGACAAGTTTAAATAGAGAGCTCTGGGCATGAGGATTTTCTTTAGGCCAGTGAGGAAGTTAGTGTCACTCTGGTTCCCTTGTCCAAAAGCCTATGAGATTTTTCCATTGGATTTTGGATCATTTTTGAAGCCTAAATACAGTTGTCAGAGGAAAAAAACAAATGTTTTGAGTAACATAAAAGCTTCAAAATTCACAGTGGGGTATTTACAGATGTATTATGTCATAGAATGAGACATGAAAGTCTCATAAGCTTGTGTTAAACACAGACCTTATTTTAGGCATTTAACCAAAAACCCATTCAAAAAACCCATTGACTTCTAGACGAGGGAACCAGGAGTGCTAAAATGCTATCTCATTTCAGGGTTTTAGGACTCCTGGAGCACTCTGTAACAGAAGAATGCACTTTACTGATAGACAGGGTTTGACATCTCTGAAAAGTTAGTAGCAGTTGTTTTATCTTTTGTCACAATGATTGTGAGGTAAACAGTTGAAAAACACAGTAAACAGTACAACATAAGCTATCAGGAATGTGTGTCTGCTTGCATGAATGTGACCGGACACTGCAGCACCTTGTCGGATGATATCTATTTGCATTGCAGCAAGTTTTTTAACTGCGTTTGTTGCTGGAGACCTCTGTGTTGGCACCCATGTCACACTGCCGCACTTGCTTTTTTCAAAATAAAGACAGAATCAAGTGAGTATCTTCCAAAGTTACAGTTTTTACAACAAAAATTACGCTTTGTGTTGCAAGTCAGCACTGACACATTATCGAGGGAAACCCAAAGAGGGAATACTGTACTAAAAAGACTGTAACTTAGAATGATATCCACTGGATTTAATTAACTTGGACGTGTCCTATCAGGCCTCGGCCCTTTTTGTTTCCTGTGAATCCCCCTGCATTAATATTAAGACATAAAGATAATACTTTATGAGTAATATTTTGTGTAGTTGTTAAAGTGTCAGTTTGATTTGAATAGTAACCGAGGTAAATGTTTTAGATTTCAGATAACTATATCATCATTTCTTTTCTGAGCTTGTTGATCTCTGACCTGTGCCTGCTGAGCTGTCCTCATCCTCCTGCGTAATGATCTGTTGCCATGCTGCCACAAATTCAAAGTAAACAGCAGCGGTGACATCATGTCAGAGTAAACACAAAGTAACCTGTGTCTTGAACATTGCAGTATAAATAAAGTTAATAGTATTATTAATACTGCCCATCATCTAAACATTTTCAATCAAGGCCTACTTTTGAGGCTGAAGTCTGGCTGAACCTCCTCTGACCTGCTGCATCCTCCCCTCACTGCTGTCCCTTCTTGTGTGTTTTGGCTCTCTTCCTACAAGAAGTAGCTCTGCCAGTCAGGCTCAGTGACAGGGTGGCAGCCGGCAGACACTACTGATCACTTCAGTTGTATTTCAGAGCAGTTGTCAGTGGCTGGAGACCGCTGCCTTCCTCTGAATTATGGAGTTGCTACCTCTGAGGAGGCAGTTTTTAACTGATAGATGTTGACTTTTTAAAGCTAAATGAAGAAAAAACAGATTCTTTTAATTGAACCAACTGCACTCAATGCTTGGTGGCCTTAGCAAGGCCAACTAATATTATTAACTTGGAAGTGGTTTTAGACTCTCATTTACATTTTAATTCTCATTTTAACAAGGTCATTCAAACATCCCTTTTTCATCTTTGAAACATAACTAAGGTCACATCTTTTTTAACCCAGAAGGATGCCGAAATACTCACTCATGCTTTTATCACCAACTGTTCAGACTGTTGCAGTTCCCTTTTCACTGGACTACCCAAAAAGCCTGAAAGAAAACTACAGCTAGTCCAGTAGGCTGCAATCAGTGTTGACTAAAACAAGGAAAATGGATCACATCCCCCCACTGCACAAGTCACTACACTGGCTACCTGTATCTTTTAGAATTGATTTTAAAGTTCGTTTACTTGTTAATAAAGCTTTAAATAACCTTGTCCATCCATACATTAGAGATTTTCAATCATTTTATGTTCCAGCCAGATCACTAAGGTCCTCCACTGCTTTACTTTTAAATGTTCCTCATGTGCCTCATAAAAGTACTGGTGAGAGCACTTTGTTTTTATGCCCCTACACTGTGGAATTCACCTCTCACCTCTCACCTCTGGATATTAGAATGGCGAGCTCTCTTGGTATTTTTAAACGTAAATTAAAGACCTATCTTTTTAATCGGCTTTTAATGTGGAGTAACATTATAGCCTTGATTTTCAAGTTTTAACCATTGTTTTTTTTACCTTGTTTTATCTCTCCTGTTCATTTTTTTCTATTTCATTTATCTATTCACTCTCTTTTTATTCTATGGAGTTTTAATAATGTTTTTGTTAGTTTGTCTTGTGCCTGTGTCATTCCAATTTTGCCATGTGAAGCACTTTTAGCTGCATGTTTGTATGAAAGGTGCTATATAAATGAAGTTGTACCTGCAGCCTTTTTATATGAGATTTAAGCTTGCTAGATCCATACTAATGGCTGACTGAACTCAAAGGACATGTGTTGGGGAACTGCCTGAGCAGCAAATGCACAGAACTGCAGTACCATCTGTATCCATTAGGAGGTAGTCAGTTAGCCAGTCAGTGAGAGGTTATGTGTGTGTGTGCCATTTGGCACAGGGTTACATCTGGCTGTTTTATACAATGAACGATTTAAATTCAGGGTTTTTAAATACATTTTATATTGAAAACAGAGCCGCACCAAAGCTGGTGTACGAATGCATTTAATATGTACCACATGAGTGATATAGTCATTCTCACACCATATGACAAGCACACCTCGGTGGAGATACTGTGTCATGTCTCTCTCTCTCTGTCTTCATTTTATTTTCTAAATCTGATTGTACTTCCTCCCTCCTCACCTTGCCTTTCTCACTCCTGTACTGTCTCCAGGTTGGCTTCTTTCCCAGTGAGTGTGTGGAGCTCATAAATGATAAAGTGCCGCAGTCCATGACCAACACGGTGCCAAAGCCAGGTACTCCTCCTCCTCCTCCTCCTCCTCTTAAACCATTCACAGGATATGTGTTGGAAGGAAGTTATCACTGATGGCAGTTAATGTCTCACTGATTCGGCTGTATGTTCAGGAAGCGGTTATGTCGTAGGTGTGTTTCACATGGTGCCCACAAATATTATTGCTGATTTGACATATTTGTGTCATGGAATAGATTTTGTCTCTACAGTGGATTTCTAGTATATCTTCACACACCATCATTTCATAATGTGTGTGTGAATACAGTGGAGGTATAGATATTGGCCAATCTGAAAATGAAACCAATGTACAGAGCCCCATTAAATGTTTTGCCTGTTTTTATAGAACTGAATCACAGTACATAATCATCAGTATAAAGACTTTAATTTCTGAGCATGTTACAGTGAAAGGAAATGGATTATTCTGACACAGCATGCCCTGAAATAGCCGGCTTATTATGTTATATTGACTCAGCACTGTGCAAATCCTCTGCAAATAACTGTGCTAATCTATTGCTGTCCAGAGCAAACAGATAAGCTCTTTAGCACACTCCTGAGAGCGTCAAAGACAGATGTATAACATAAACCCTCTTGGAATCAAAGAGAACACTTCCTAACATTTGGCAGCTGTGATACTTGAGACTCAGATGACTTTAGATGTTGCTGAACTTTGCCCTCACTTCTTCACACACTGAATTATACACTGCAGCTCATGACATGTTCCTGTGACCGAGCTTATTTGATCAAAAAAAAACAAGTCACGTCCAAGTCTTCCAAATCCAAAGACTGATCTAACCAATATGACTCACTGTCACAGCCATCAGGCTGGCTTTGGGGTGGGTGAGTGGAGCCAGGGTTTCTAACCATCGAAAAGCCCCCGAGACTCCAGGGTCTGCCTTAAGTGGTGACACAGCAAAGAAAAATGCCAACCCCACAAGATCCACTATTATGAGCGAAGGGATATCATTATAAAGCACCAAATTTTGGGTGCATTTAGACGCCCATGTTATCTGATGTACCAGTCAAGTTTCAGACCCACGTTTTTGAGCCTTTCAGAGTGTGTGGCTGATCAGAAATGCATCTTGCGGTGTCGAGTTAACAGTCGCAGTGCACGCACAGCACACTCCAGATTCCCCGACTCAATCTGCCTGCCACCCCCACCCCCCACCAGTGCTCAGCAATGTTTCAGTGCTCGTTGCTGTTTTTTTTTGTTTGTTTGTTTGTTTGCCTATTGCACGTGTCATTATTTATCTATCATCCTTTTTTATTCTTTACAAAGTGTCTGCAGGTCAAGTATGTTATTTAAATATTCTAAAGACAACCTGATTTTCATTTTTCTCTTTAATTGATCATTTTTATATATCTGTGTTATTGCTTAGTTAATGTCTTTAGCCATGTTCAATCAGAAATAAGTAATTCACATAACAAAACACATAACCGACGAATATTTGTTTTTCTAAAACCTGCAGATACCTTGTTGTCAATAAAAATAACATGACTCTAAATGAGCAGATCCTGGATCAAGTTCATTAGCAGTGGCAGAGCAACTAACTCAATGTAATGGTGTTTAAGCTGTCTGCTTGTTCTCCACTGTGATGCATCATTAATACTGTTATTGGATGTACAGTAGTATTAGCATGTGTCTTGAATTGTTGCATTTGACTGTGACTCCTCTGTCTCAGCCTCCCCCTGCTCTGGCCTGCAGCCTGCTTCTTGGAGTCTCTTCCCCCCCTGTGCGTGTTGGTATACACACTCCATCCACCTGTCCACTCACTCTGCCTTCACCCACGCACACACAAAATGTATTTGCACATTTGGACTTGTATGACATATTGTTCTTTTGAGTTTGGATGTAGTTAAAGTTATAATCCTTAAGACTTTAGTCCCAGCCAACAAAAAGAGGCTTTGGTCAAAAATATACCTTTTTCCATCATGCAGTCTGATTTTATGCTGCACAGGGTGCAAGTAGTTTTCCATACAGCAGGAAACTGTAAATATTATTGATACATTTGCTGAGGAGTTGCAGGTGTGCAGCTTGTCACCTGCAGCCCTTCATCTAACAGCCCGCTGTGGTTGCTCCCTCTTGTTCCATTACCCCCAAAATATTTCAAACTGTGCCAAAAAATGCCACAAATTACCTTTTTTATTTGAAGCCGTTTTGAAGAACGATCATAGTCAGCACTAACCCTGGTGAAAAATACATTGCATTTTCTGTGACTGCTTCACAATGAAAGCCACCACTCGTTTCACCAGTTTACTGCTTTCACTCAGTATGTTTACATGCACAGTTAAGTCAAGTAACAGTCATAGCTCAACTAGGACATTTAATTAGACTGCTGTCCTTGTCCCAGTATACAAACACAGGAGGGGAATCGATTTATTGACCGACTCCGCTACGATAGATGGCGATATGCCCCCTTTCAGCTTGTTAGTACTGGACCCCTTTCTGGTTGACCTATTACGCCACAGACCAAACAATTGATAAACATGTTTACTACAGTTAGCTAGCGGAAGAGTGATACCACAGTGACAACTTTACAGCTCTGTAAATTTCGTCTGTCCAAAAATGTACGGCTCTGGATGTAGATTTTGCCACATTGTTACCGGCTTCCTCTTCTGTCATGCATTTATTCAGGTCAAAGCCCGGGGCAAAAACCGTGGAGCATGCACAGAGTGCCTAGGCCAGTTTGCTTCCGAATGACTGTATACATGCAGGAGTTAAGCCTGTTTTATGGTCCTGCGTTAAATCAATGACGTCGTTACGTCGTAGGGTATGTGGCTACGCAGAAGGCTCGCCGTAGCCTGACGTGCACCTCCCCAAAAATGTAACTACACGTCGAGACGACACAGACGCAGACCGAGAGGGCTGTGATTGGTTTGCTTGGTAGCAACGCATTTCTGGTTCTGTATTTCCAGATTGCGCCATTCCCGCCATCTTTAAACATCTTCTGTTGTGATGTAGATGTTGCAGTATTAAGGCCCATTTATGCTCAACGTTAAATACGGATATGGATACGGACGGAGCCTTCTGTCCGTGCTCCGCGTTCATTTCTCTGTGGCCAGAAAAGCCGGAAGCTAAACAAAGAATCAACTAGAGACGTCGATTACCATTTGGGAAAGGAACGCAGCCTCCTACCGCTCTGATGGTGAATTGCACCGCGACGAAATGGAGAGATGGAGAAGTTCAAAGGGTTCACGACGGCGTCATGGTAACAACGTAGGTACGTCGTAGGTACGCCGCAGGACCATAAATCAGGCTTTATTCGACTCCCAATCACATTATCTGGGTGCGGTAGTCCGACTTTGAGAAATTCAATTTAGTACGATTTCAGTCCGACTAGCGTGTTTACATGTATCTTAAAAGTCCAGTTTTAGTCAGTCCAACACAAAAAAAAGGATTTTCTCTATTGTCATGTGAACATACAGAGTGTGAACGAACAGCAGCAGGAAATGCTGGGTTAGCATTTGCAGTAACTTAACACAGCTCTGATGGTGTAAGGAGAGTCAGCAGTAGACAGTGAGACTGAAATCAGTTAAATTATAAATAGTAATGTTGGATTACATGCTGGTCATTTCAGTGGCGAAGATCGGCAGTTTGAATCTCATGCAGGAATGGCGGACCCTGCCACCAATCATCAAAACTACTATAGAGAGAGGAACTTTGGAATGTAATTACACTGAATGACTATTGATAAAATGCCGACCATAAGCCGTATCAAACGGGGTGTGATTTCATGAAAGTCTTATGGATTACAACTTTAATCTTTAAGTTCTGTCATTTAAGAAAACTTGTTATACTGATGAATGCAAAGTTTTTTTTAACTGAGTATAAATTATTACTAAATGTTTTTTTCTTTAATCAGCAGACTGACAAAACAGTTTATTGCTCTAGCATCGAAGTATTTCAAAGCTACTGACCTCACAGTCCCAAAGTACACAGTTGCTCTGTTATCTAAATTCAAGTGCTTCTCTCCCTCTGCTGATTCTCTCATCATCCATCCATCCATCCATCCATCCATCCGTCTGTGGGTCCATCTGTCCATCGGGCTGCATGCAGACTTGGAGATGGAGAATGTAATACAGGACAGTGCATGGGTGGCCGACCCGCTAAACCACTACAGCCTAAGTTCAGGTAGACAAAAAATCTTTGGTGTGCTGCACTGCCACTCCCTAACCAAAAATTCACTCCACAACTTGAGTGATGTGTTTGCACTGTGTGACTCTAATAGGACTAGTCTGCGCCCCTGTCACAGGAGTTTAACGGTGAAGTGTGTAAGATTTAGGGGGATTAGGTGGCATCTAGTGGTGAGGATTACAGATTGTAACCAGCTAAAATTTCTCTCAATTATAATTCCTGCTGCGTTTATTGTTTAGGAGGTTTTTACCGGGAGCCGAATTATCCACAGAGGTCTCTTTCTCAAACGGACCCCAATGATTTAAACCAGTAAAAACACTGAATAAAGCAGCTTTACATTACAAACCAGTGTAACTCCAATGCTGCTCATTGCACATGGGCTTCTAACTACGGTCGCAGATGCGAAAATGCAAATAGCCCTATCTGGAGTCAGTGTTTATTTGTTCCATTCTGGGCTTCTGTAGAAACATACCGATGCAACATGGCGATCTCCATTAAAAGATAAGATAAGATACACCTTTATTGATCCCACAATTGAGAAATTCCAGTGTTACAGTACAAGCGGCCGAAATGAGTTTCCTCCGCAGGGTGGCTGGGCTCAGCCTTAGAGATAGGGTGAGGAGCTCGGACATCCGGGAGGGACTCGGAGTAGAGCCGCTGCTCCTCCACATCGAGAGGAGCCAGTTGAGGTGGTTCGGGCATCTGGTAAGGATGTCTTCTTGATGCCTCCCTTTGGAGGTTTTTTGGGCATGTCCATCTGGGAGGAGACCTTTGTGCTGCCCCAGGACACGCTGGAGGGATTACATCGCCCGGCTGGCCTGGGAACGCCTCGGGGTTCCCTTGGAAGAGCTGACGGAGGTGGCGGGGGAGAGGACTGTCTGGGCTTCTTTGCTGAGGCTGCTGCCCCCGTGTCCCGGACCCGGATAAGCGGAGGACGACGAGACGAGACGAGACAGTGTTACAGCAGTCAAGGAGAAAGAGTCAAATTAAACATTTAAAGATTTAAAAACTTAAAAAACTAGGTATGCAAAAAAAAAGTACAACAATACAAGAAACGGCAATGAATAATAAAAGGACCCGCTCTGTATGTGGCTATAAATGGCTCATTGCGGGGTAAAAAAAAATCACAACAGTTCTTATTTTCAGGTGATTATACACAAAAGAAAACATACTTATTATATTACATTCCATCTTTGCCAATAAATACCCCTAAATCCTACACACTGGACCGTTAACACTGGGGATAAATGTTGTGTATTTTTTGCTGTTCCATTCCAAAAGGATGACCTTTCACAACATAACAGATTGCCCTGTCTTTGACCTTCAACACACTTAATCACATTCTCTCTGCCCTCTGACGGCGGACCAATAAGACTCACTATAAACCACATCTTGCTGTGCAGTAATAGTAGAGCATTTATGACACAGTAATGTGGAAATAGGTCTTTCTTTCCCGTGTGTGTGTGTGTGTGTGTGTGTGTGTGTGTGTGGGTGTGTGTGCGTGCGTGTGTACACGTGTGTGGCCATATTCCCCTTTTAAAGTTTGTTACTTCAAGTCCTGCTGATTCCTTCTGCATTGTAAGATCCTTTATATCATGCAGTTGTATTTTAGATGTGTTTCAGGTTTTGTCAGAATTAATGTTGCATGGCATTTGTCTGTAGAAGAAAAAAAACTATACATAAAACACTTGGAATAAGATGTAGTGATGTAAAAATAAAACCTGCTAAAAGTTTCTCTCAAAAGAGAAATATCTTCTCCCTGCAGCCCCTGTTCAATTTTTTCTGTTTTGCCCCTCAAGGTGTATGCAAATGAGTTCAGGGGTGAGCCAGGTTACTACAGCATTTCTCAAAGCTGCTGAATGTACCCTGTGTCTGGAAGAGGGCCAGCTGTGTTTGTGTGTCTGTTTGGTGGAGTCTGAAAGGCCACGGCAGGGGTGCCGTGGCGCTAGGTCTCAACCAGCCTTGATTTATTTAATCCTTTTACAATGAGGGGGCCTGTAAACCCATCCATTGTGCGTTAAGCTTTGTCCTGCAACAGTAAGAATCTCTGTCTCCCTCTCCATGGTGACTGAAAGAGCACATTCCTGCAGGGAGACACACAGCATTGGAAAAATATGCTTGCTCTGCCTAGATCCACTCTGCTCACCACTAACCTTTGCTGTTTTTCAGTAAAACTGTGGAAATTGTTAACATGCTGCTTTGCTTCGGTTAAAATCGAGACAGTAGAAGCTAGGAGTTATCTGTCCTTCAGTCCATGTGGTTGTGTTGCAGTGGAATCAGAGAACAGAGACTACTCTATTCTCAGTGAAAATAGACTCTTTTGTTGACATCAATGTGAAAATAAAGAGTTGTGAGTTTTGGATGAAAAAAATAACAGCGAGACTTCTTTCCTCCCCTGACAGCCCAATAGACCTACCAGTTACTGACCCAGATGTAGAGCCCCCTCTGTTCCCTTCTTCATTGCAGGCCTTCGTCATGTCTGGGGACCAGTGATTTGGGCAGCTGTGAGCATACATGAGCCAAGACAGCTGGTTATGTGAAGGAGAGAGGATGGGAAATGGAGAGAAAATGTGTGAGACAGACTAAGATTTGTCCTCCTGTTCCCGAGGATCTCAGATCATTTCCTGGTGCTTTGGTTCTGGGCTGTGAAACTATGCAAAGTCCCTTGTGTAAAGTGTTGCTCTGCAGTTCCAATAAGTGACTGTTGTTGTGGGCAGCACCTTTGTTTGGGGGAGGCTGCTTATGATTACATACTAACAACTCAGCCTGTGTTGTAAACTGAGCGAGTGTGTAGAGCCCACAGATCATTTTGTACAACTTTGTAGATTACTTATGATCAAGTAGGATTCAACATTCAGCACACCTGAGTAAGAGCAGATTAGGATGGTTAAGCGCGTCTGGTCTATATGGAGTGGACTTCTCTTATTTTTGCTCTTAACAGATAATTAAGAGAAATTTAAGAGAATGCTTCTGCATGAGGCCCATTGTGTTGTTGCAAAGCTTCTAAGCACAGACGTTTAGCCAGCAGCTATGTGTGTTTATGTTTCAGACAACATGGCGTTCTGCTCCATTAATTCAAATAAACACAAGAAGTTTGTGCTCTAGAGAAAGGATCAGCACTCAGTGAATAACCTCCTAAGCCCTATGATAAGCTATTATGGCAAGGCTTAACTATACAGACCAATGAGCAGTGATAACTAACATGTCTTTGGGGTCATCTGGTGGGAACCTCCTTTCACCAGTGTTTCGTTTAGTTGGTCCCACGACACCTCCAGGAGGCTAGACAGTGATCTCTGGCGTCCCAGAGACACTCCCCTAATGCCAGGTCTCACTGCTCCCCGCACCAACCCAGTAACCTCCTTTACCTTACTTACACATGGCTTTCTCAGCCCAAACAGCACTGCCACCTTCAACAAACCCAGGCTCCATACATGCGAGCTCCAGGTAGTGACCGTGCTGATACTACCTTTCCTAGTGTTCACCATACTCTATTTCACATGCAACATAGTATAACTACAGTATAAGTTAAAGTTAAAGGAGATAGTTAAACTCACAGGATCAGCAAACACACTCACCTTGCAGCATGGTCTCATACAAAAGGGATTCAAATAGGCCACTCCCACACTTAAATAACCTTCCTCTTCCTGTATTTCCTCCTTACTTACACATGGCTTTCTCAGCCCAAACAGCACTGCCACCTTCAACCAAACCCAGGCTCCGTACATGCTAGCTCCAGGTAGAAGCAGTGCTGATACTACCTTTCCTAGCACATTCACCATACTCTATTTCACATGCTACATTGTACAGTACATTGTACAGGCATGCAGCTGCAAAACACACTTCCTTGTTCTTTTCTTTAGATTATTCAGATGCATGCAAAATATCAGCTGTATGATGCTTGATCTAACACAAAGCTCTCATTCTGTTATATGGTATATTACATCAGGGCTGCAGTTCACTGTCTCCTGTATAGATGACTGGTGTTTTCAGCACGTTGCCAGTAGACTGACTGTCAAACTGCCTCTTACTGTTCTAACAGAGCCTCACATGTTGAGTTCATATGATTTAATTTTCAAGGTGTTATGAAAAACCCCCACACAAAAGTAAAAAACACTTAACTTTGTACAAAGTGGACAACTAAATTAGAGGAGAGAAAGCTCTTGACAATGTAGGAGACATACAGTATGTCTGTGATCCCTGTGACACAGAACAAACTTGTTGAGTTGAACTTAGTTTGACTTTCTCAGTAATGTTCCCCAGTGTGTGGATTAGTGCTGGTGTTGGAGCGAAAAACTATTTTGTAGAGCAGGACATTACATACACATGGAAGATGCACAGTATTGGAAGAATTATTCAGATCCTTTACTTAAGGTAAAGTACCAATAAAATAGTGTAAAATTAAAATACTCTTTTACAAGTGAAAGTAGTGCATTAAAAATCCCACAAAAGTAAAAGTACAGGAGTGTTTTGGGTCAAATGTAATCACAGTATTAAAAGTAAAAGTACTGGTTTTCAAAAAGATGTGTTGACTGAAGTATTAGTATCATATATGAACCTATTAGATTGTTAATAGTTATGCATCAATGAATAAGCAGCGTTTTACTGTTGAAGCTGGTCAAAGTGGAGCTAGTTTGGACTACTTTACATACAGTTAGCTAGTTTAGCCCAGTGGTAAAAGGGAAACTACATTCATTATCAAAATCCATGCCCTTTTTTCCTATGGTCTGAGACAGTCCATAAATATAAGTAAATATGCACAGCTCTCTCCTAAATCCAAATCTAGACTGCTGAAACTCAAATTTGTGATGTCATAGGTTGTCAAGTGTGGAGCTGCTCCATAAACAATGAATGGGGAAAGATATTGTAGATGGCAGTGAGAGCACCCAGGGAAGTGCTCTGAGTATATGGGTACATTTTCTGTTTCAAAACTGAGAAACCTACAGTAGAAGAAAGCTCATCTGGGTATAAAAAAAGAAAACAAACAAAATCAGTCTCCC